CATTAAGGTGTTTTTTTTTGTTTTTTTATCTGATAATAATATACTATTTTTATTATTGATATTGATACTTTTTGCACCAGTTTCCCAGGAAGTGACACTTTTGTTTCCTTGAATACGTGGGATAGAAACAGTGCTTTATTCACAAAAGTTTTTTTGATATTTCAAGTTAAATTCGCAACTTTTAAGCTATTTTTTTTAAATATGAAAAAATTAAATAAATATTTATGATACACATTGTCAATATTACATACTTTTCATGAAAAAATAGTAGATGAGTTTGTTTCTTCATGGGAATAGATTCAGAGAAATGTAGCATTGCATCAGTTGCTCACCAGTGGATGCTCTGCAGTGAATGGGTGCCGTCAGAATGAGAGTCCAAACAGCTGATAAAAACATCACAATAATCCACACCACTCCATCAGTTAACATCTGGAGAAGACGAAAGCTTAAACAAATCCATCATTAAGATGTTTTTAACTTCAAACCATTGCTTCCCGCTAAAATACGAGTCCATAATTTTCGCCACATTTTAGATGAGATGAAGTGTTTTGGTTGTTGCAGGATTCTGAACACGACGCTCTTCGAGAGCTGGGAGATCATCCTCTTCAACTTTCTGCTGCTGGTGCTGCAGGTGCTGCACATGCTCTGGTCCTACCTCATCGCCCGCATCGCCTTCAAAGCCATCATGAGAGGAAAGGTCTGCACAAACCCGCCGCTCTGAGCCACATGTTCAGGAGGATCTCGTTAACATTGTGTAGTTACACGCGTTTCCTCTCTTTTATCTTTCTCTCCCGCAGAACTGGTTTGTCTTTCCCCTCTCTAGCTGCTGGAAGGCTGTTCCCGTCTTTCAGCTTCTGTCCTGATAGAAATCTTTTGCTACTTCTGCTAAACTCACTCGCTTTAGGGTCTTTCACTCTCTCTCTCTCTCAGTCGCTTCGGCTGTAAGTCTGCTTTCTTTACTTGTTTTCCTGGTTTGTTTTGTAGTAGTTTTGTATCCCAGACTATGTGTTTAACCTGAAATTGAATTAAACTGGATGTGTTTCAAAGGAATAGTTCACCCAAAAATGCAATTTAGCTGAACATTTCCTCACCCTCAGGTCATCCAAGATGTAGAGGAGTTTGTTTCTTCATCAGATTTGGAGAAATGTAGCATTGCATCGCTTGCTCAGCAATGGATGCTCTGCAGTGAATGGGTGCCGTCAGAATGAGAGTCCAAACAGCTGATAAAAACATCACAATAATCCACACCACTCCAGTCCATCAGTTAAAAGACAAAAGCTGAAACAAATCCAGCATTAAGATGTTTTTCACTTCAAACTGTCGCTTCTGGACAAAATATGCATAATCCAAAATAACACTTCCTCCAGTGAAAAAGTGGTCTCGTCTGAATCGGGAGAGAAATCTGCTCAGATCAAACACCGTTTACAAGCCAAAACGGCTCTAAACTGTCGGATTTTGTTGTGAGAGACAACAGGAGATGGACTTTTCCACTGGAGAAAGTGTTATCGTTGATTATGGATTCGAAGCAACAGTTTGAAGTTAAAAAAAACATCTTGATGGATTTGTTTCTTACAAACACGCAGCTTTTGTCTTCACAAGACATTAACTGATGGACTGGCGTGCTGTGGATTACTTGTGGATTATTGTGATGTTTTTATCAGCTGTTTGGACTCTCATTCTGACGGCACCCATTCACTGCTGAGCATCCATTGGTGAACAAGTGACGTAATGCTAAATTTCTCCAAATCTGATGAAGAAACAAACTCCTCTACATCTTTGAGTGGAGGATTTTGCATTTAAAGCACCCAAGCGCCCTCTTGAGGAAGGCTGCCAACATTTCCCAGCCAGAGTATTGAACCAAACCAGTACTTTAATTAAAAACCGACCACTGGATTGGTCCGCTTATAAAACAGTTGAACAAGTTGAAGTTGATCAAATAATGAAACACTTTTTAAACATACTCACTACATCCAAACCATTAAAAGTACTACAGCTAATAACCCAAATGTGTCCAACCCAGGTGTCCAAAGACGACCGCAGCGACATTGAAAGCAGCTCGGAGGAAGAAACCGAAACGACACCCAAAGAGCGACTCAAGACGGCTTCATCCCGAGGAGAAAACGGCTCCAACGGCCATTTTGGCTCCAAAACCTGGAGCCAGAACCACAACAACTGGTGACGCTCACTCCGTTTGGCCTTGCGCACAAAGAACTTGTGTCCTAGAAATATCGCAACGGGACTATTCCTCATCCCTGTACCTCACTCCAACAACAAAAACTCAAAAACACCAACCGAAATCACCCTGTTGTGGGACTTTTGAGACTCGATGACGGAGTTTGGGACGTCATTCCGGTGATGATGGGACAGTAATGACAATATGGCCACTATGAGAAGCTTGTGAAAGAGAAAAACGATGAAATTAGTGATATTTGCATTCCCTCGTTTCCTTGTTTCGGGAGCGGAGAAGATGTTTCTTTTCCACACTTCGTTTTACTGAAGTCATGGAAGAAGATCCTCTTCAGATTTTAACGGTCAGATGTACTTGAGTTTCCATTTGCGGTTGCTTTACTTTTTGTTTTCGTTGTTTGTTTTGGTTACTGACGTGTTTGTAATTTGTTTCCTGTGCTGTTTTTCATTTTACTTTTTTATTTTTGGAAACCAAATAAGGTTATTAAAATGAAAGCTGGGCCTTTGTCCTGTAATGAGACGCTTTTTGATTAATAGGTGAGTTTTTTTTTATTTTTTACCTTCCCCTGGAAATCAGGGTAGATTAAATGAAATAAGTATGTGAACAAATAAAATATGACAAATGAAATAATAAGTTTAGGGTTCCCACGGTCATCCTAGAAATGTCTGGGGTTTAAAAGTGTGGTTTCCAGTCTTTTTGAAATCTTTCAAATGTAAATTTCTATACTGCAGAAAAATGGGTGTTTTCTGATCATAAAGAGCATTGAAAATGCGAAATGCAAATAATAATTAAATTAATGTTTATATAATATCTAGATCCTGGAGCAAAACCAGTTGAGACCTACTGAGATGGTGAATAAAACTGTTAATTTCATATTTTTACACTTTTAGAGTGTTTATTAATATTTTGAATTTGCTTTTATTTTTAGTTAAGTCGTTTTGTTTTATATTTCCATTTAGTTTTAATTTATATTTAAGATGTAGTACTATTTTAGTACTTCAGCCTAAACTTGTTTTCAGTTAGTTGATTCAAGTTTTTCCATCTAATATTTGTTTTATTTCAGCTTTATTTTAATTAACAAAAAACAATTTTAATAGTTCTAGTTAATAATAACAACACTTGGATATAATAATTTACATTTATATTCAGCTCTAAAATGTCATGTGTAATCTTTAAAACCATTTTCACACCTGGAAAAACATGGTAAAAATCATTTGTTAACAGGTGTGGGAACCCTGCAGATCTACAGGACATGCACAAACACTCATGATAGTGGATTTTTATAAGGAACATTTAATATATTACAACACATAAGATCTCATTGAACTCCACAAAAAGGAAAAGAAACCCTTTGAGGGTCATGAACGCAGGTGGGTTTCTGCTGGGCCACGTGTGACATGATCAGTGTCTGGTTAAGTGGTTATTTACAGCCTGTGTCTTCAGTCTTTATGGTCTCTGAGGCCGCGCTCTCATTCTGCGCCGCCAGCTCCAGCTGTTTCTGTCTCTGCATGTACCGTTGAGCCCGCAGGACGCACAGGTATCCGCCGTACACCGTCAACAGCATCATGGAGCCCGAGAAGAGCTTATAACCCACATCAGCGATGCGCTTCCCGCTGAGCATGACAGATCTGTGAAAACATGCGAGGAACTGGTGAGTTGAATTAGGAGCATCTTCTTGTACGATTTAACGGCGGTTAATTAGGAGCATCCTAGCAAACGCTGAACGTTCCCATATGGCTGCCATTTGGTTATTTTTGGGAACTAAATACGAATGTTCTGCAAACCTAAAAAGAACGTTTTGCGTCTGTAAAGTTTCCTGGCCAAACAAAAAAAAAACTGTTTTGGGAACCGAAAACTAATGTTTCCAGAGCGTTCTAGTAACCAAAAAACTTAGCAGGGACACACAATATGTGACCCTGGACCACAAAACCAGTCATAAGGGTCAATTTTTCTAAATTGAGATTTATACATCATCTCAAAGCTGAATAAATAAGCTTTCCATTGATATAAGGTTTGTTAGGATAGGACAATATTTAACTGAGATGCAACTATTTGAAAATCTGGAATCTGAGGGTGCAAAAAAAAATCTGAATATTGAGAAAATCATCTTTAAAGTTGTTCAAATGAAGTTCTTAGCGCATCTTCTTGTACGATTTAACGGCGGTTAATTAGGAGCATCCTAGCAAACGCTGAACGTTCCCATATGGCTGCCATTTGGTTATTTTTGGGAACTAAATACAAATGTTCTGCGAACCTAAAAAGAACGTTTTGCGTCTGTAAAGTTTCCTGGCCAACCAAAAAAAAAAAACTTGTTTTGGGAACCGAAAACTAACGTTTCCAGAGCGTTCTAGTAACCAAAAAACTTAGCAGGGACACACAATACGTGACCCTGGACCACAAAACCAGTCTTAAGTGTCAATTTTTCTAAATTGAGATTTATACATCATCTCAAAGCTGAATAAATAAGCTTTCCATTGATATAAGGTTTGTTAGGATAGGACAATATTTAACTGAGATGCAACTATTTGAAAATCTGGAATCTGAGGGTGCAAAAAAATCAAAATATTGAGAAAATCACCTTTAAAGTTGTCCAAATGAAGTTCTTAGCAATGCATGTTACTAATCAAAAATTAAGTTTTGATATATTTACGGTAGGAAATGTACAAAATATCTTCATGAAACATGATCTTTACTTAATATCCTAATGATTTTTGGCATAAAAGAAAAATGGATAATTTTGACCCATACAATGTATTTTTGGCTATTGCTACAAATATACCCCAGCGACTTAAGACTGCTTTTGTGCTCCAGGGTCACATATGTCAAAGATGACCATCTGAGGCCTCCAACTCCAACACAATGGATTAGTGATATCCTCTTGTTCCTAAAGTTGAGAAAAATCAAACATTCTATAAGAAGCTCATCTAACCAGTTTAATAAAGCTTGGGGCCCTTTTAAGCAATATGTCACAGAACATGTCTTATTGTCGGACGTAGACTGATTCTTAGTTCATTTTTCCCCCCAGTTAACTTTATTGAATCATATTGATTGTGCACTTTCATTGTTTTGCTAAGCCACACTTTTATTTACTTATTATTATCATTATTATTTAATCTATTGCATTACTAAGTTGATATTGTCTTTTGTTCTGCTTTGTTCTCTTCTTTGTAATATTGTTGTAAAACTCATAAAGTAAAAAAAAAAAAGTAGACCATCTGAAATATCATGAATAATATCAAACAAATAATGTCTGCTATGGTAATCTAGTAACTGTATTGTGTAGGTTCGTGGCTATAGATTCAAAATCAAGGTTCAAAATACTATGGTTTTACCATGGTACCATATTCAATAACGATTGCACCATTTGTTCGTGAATACTACTTTTATTTTTCTTCAGTTTTACAACACATCGGCGTGAGTTTGCATCTCAGTTCTATAATCTCAACTGCAATTCGATTGTTTTCCAGCAAAAAAGTAAAAAAAAACAAGGTTGATTAATCTTTCTTCTACATAAATATCGTTTAAAGTCGTTTAATGTTACAGCGTTTACATAAAATATGGCAAATGTGGAGTCTCACCTATTAAATCTCCAATTCAAAGTATGAGGAAATTCAGTTCTGTACTCATGTCAGGCAAATGGCTTGTGCGCATGCGCAGTTACTTTTCGTAACGTATGGCGTAGCAGAAGGGCCAAATGTAGTAAAACCGTTTTTCGCTCGTAGTTCCTAAAATACATATTCTGAAAAGTAATATGTTATAGCAGTGAGCAAAAAAATTCTGGGTTTATTGCCTGCTTTATTGTTTTTAAATTTATAAATGTGTACAATCGATCATAATGCGAGGAACTAATTAATAGTTTCTTCAGGAATTATTTTGTTGCTGGACAAACATGGAGACTCACGTTCCTCGTGTGAATCCAGAGGAAAATGAAGATCCAGGAGCTGCCGCTTATGGAAACTTCATCAATTATTACACCTTCAACCCGCCAGAGAACCGCCTGAGTTTGATACCAGAAACATTGCTTGAAAACATCAGACTCCGTTCTGTCAGCGGCGAACGTGTTTTAATGCTGGATGTGGGATGTAATTCAGGGGTAAAAATGACAGATTCCTCTCATTTAGTATTTAAATCACCAGCATATTATACTTTTTATTATTAGATGTTAAGCTTGTTAAATGCTTTTAATTAGTATTTTAGTATTATTAGTATTCTGTGGTTATCTATAAACACAATAAAGGTGACTTGCCTTATCCTTCATATTTTGAAATTCTCTAATAACTTATTAGAAGGATATTACTGAATCTTTAACCATTCATATGTATCTATTTTAAGTATTAGATGTAAAACCAGTATAAATTAGGTTATAAGTCAAACATTATCAAGATCCGGACATGGAAAAAAGTGAGGGAATTTAATATTGTCTTTATATACCCTGTTGAAAAAACCAGCATATGCTGGTTAGGTATGTTTTGAAGCTGGGATGCTGGTCCTTTGCTGGTTTATGCTGGTCCTTTGCTGGCTGG